TGTTGTTTTCATAATATATTCATGTTATGTGAAAAAGAAATATTTCGGGTATGAACTACCCAACGCACTTTTATATGATATTTGATATATGAGTATCTATGGATACTTCTATTAATTGAATGATATATGAATTTGATAAAAAACCTATTATATGTATTGAGAGTTATTGGTACAATTGGCATGTCATGTAGTGGAGTGATCATGATTATCTATTGGTACATTCATGTACATTCTACGTGGCACTATATGTGCATTATGATGGGTTCATGATGTTTTGATGTTGTGAGCTATCATCCTTATTACTGAATTTCCTAGATGTTGTGTTCTAGAGTACCTATGCATCTCTCTGGCACTATAAATGCAAATTATCCACATGGTAGCAAAATCACATATTTTGCACACTCGTCTAACTCACGTACCTTGCATACTCATTGTTATACATTGGGCTATGATTTAAATAAAAGTGAAAGGTACAAGTTTGATGGATTCAATTGAAATTAAATCTTTCAAAACATACTTTGATTTGATTACATGTAGTTTATATGTGAACTGTTATTTTGTAGGTTATTTTATATGAAAGTGACTTGACAAGTTTATTTTATATGTTAATATATTATTATATGATATTTTCCTTACTACGATTTATATTTTATTAGCATAAGATAAAATTTTAATTAGACAGTTTTTAGGCAATTTCACTCCTTATATGAAATAATATTGAACTGCCATGTTGCTGACTGAAATCGAGTTTGATTAGAATATAAAAAATATTATTTTTCGATTTACATGATTAAATTATTTATTGTCAATTGATTTTAAATGCTTGATTATATGAAACAAAATTGTATCGATCTTCGAATAAGGACTGTAATAAAGTATCATAAGACATCTTTGACTTGTATTCGATGACGTATACGAGAAAAAGGTGTTACACTAGTAGCTGTAAAAAGTTTGCGGATGAAGTTATCGCTATAAAAAATAAAGTGCAAGTTGCTTATAGAGTGTATCTTTTCTTCCTGTTGCTTTATAAGAAGTTTGGGGCTTAATTGTAATTAGCAAAATCATAGGTTATTGTAATATGTAAAAATATCATTATTGTAATTTATAAAAAGTTTTGTACATCATTGTAATTTACAAAAATTTTGTACTTTATTGTATATTCCAAAAAGTTTTATTCTTTATTGCAAATTTCAAAAAAAATTGTCTTGTATTGTAAATTTCATCATTAATACATAAAATTTCTAAAAGTTTTATCCTTAATTATAAATTCAAAAAAGTTTTGTCTTTTATTGTAAATCCCAAACAAATTTATCCTACATTGTAATTTTATGTTTTTTTTATTTTAATAGAGAAATTGTGACATATTTTTCATCATTAATACATAAAATTATTATATTATTAATGACGATACAAATAATTAGCGGTGAACTTTTAGATTATTTGATGAAATAATTAATTGTTATTGAATGTAAAATATGTGGTGACATTAATATAAGGTGACATTATGAATTAACGTCGCCATATATTTAACAATACGTGACGAAAATATAGACATCACCACATTTGACATTTAATGACACACTTAGTGTGACGTTCACTATGACTCAATTTTTACGTCATAAAATATAAATAATGACGTAAATATTAGATTATTTGATAAAGTAACTAATTGTTATTGAATGTAAAATATATGGTGGCATTAATATAAGGTGACATTATGCATTAACGTCACCATATATTTAACAATATGTGACGAAAACATAAACATTGTCACATTTGACATTTAGTGACACACTTAGCGTGACGTTCACTGTGACATCAATTTTTACGTCATAAAATACAAATAATGACGTAAATATATGTTTCAGTGATAATATTTTAGATGTCACAAATAGGCAAATTTGTTGTAGTAAGTTTGAAGTCGGATTTGTTTTACTGTGGAGTTTGGATGCTGCGGGCATAGGACGCTCAAAGAAAGCTTCAGTTTGCCCATTGCCAGGTGCTGATGTTGCGGCTGTGTTCGTGTCCAATTTTATGGTGTTTCATCTGTAAATGGTTTTATGTTTCAAGTAAGACAATATCTCTATTGCGTTCTGGCATGATGTCCTTGGTAGTCTTGTTTCTGGCGAGCAATCCATTTTTCTTCTTTGTAACGTCTGCAACTTGCAGTCATGATCTAGGTTTGTGTTGACTGTTCTTTCTGGGTTTCGGGGCCTTATCCTATGTCAATCATCTACCATGGAGCTGCAAAGTTCCTCGGTGTATGAGTGTGACGGTGTTGTTGCTTAGTAATCATGCTGGACTTTTGGAACTATGGTGTATACTTCCCTTGGACTTGACTTTGTAGCACTTTTTTCTCTCCCTATAAGATTAGGGAGGTTTTTTTAACAAGGTTAGAATTAATGTCTTTCCTTTGTATGATTCTCCTTGCTAATCATACTTTTTTTTAAAATAGTTCGTTTCTGCTTATAGGATGAAATATGTGGAAATATATTTTACGAGAAATTGTTAGATTAAAACCTATAACAGTGGGCACATATGTGTAATGTATAATGTTATCATAAAGTATTACACAAAATTAAGTGATTAATTATGTTACTAATATCATAGGTATTAAAGTATCGTGGAATTAAAGTGTAGATACCATAAATTGTATTTATAATTTGATGAGGGCATGATTATAAATAATTAAAAGATTGACCTAATATTGAATCTATATAAAAAGATAGTGGTCTAAAAAATAGGTTAAATTTTATTGCTCTTATTCCGCCATAAATGATACAAATAAACCTATCTTATTGGAATATCACAACCATCTTATAGATAATCTCTATAAGTAGATTCAGGTAATAAAATTTAGATGACCGAAATGAAAATGCAAAACTAAGAGGTGTATAAACAGAAACTAAAATACAAGTTTAAGGAACTTTTCCATGTAGACGAGAGTTGTCTGGAGACCGCCACACAATTCGACACCGCCAATCACCTTCTCCAAATCAACTACCTGAAATTCACAATGGTCGAAATAAAATTTGTTGACAGTTCAAATCACTAGGTAGCTTATTAACATAAACAAGATTACACGCCAATTTAGGAACATTAAATAAAATAAAATAAAAAGTATTAAAGGAGGTCCTTTGTTAATGGAATTGATCCAAAGGCTTTCACTTTAGGGAGGGATCCATTTGTCAGTTGAACAGACCAAGATTAGGTTGTGGACTAAATTTGTGAAAGACACTAAGATCTCATGTAATGTCATCTCAAGTTCTATAATATATTATTCAAGATCTCAAGCATGCTTAGATTTTGTCATCGATGTGTAATGTCATCTCAAGTTCTATAATAAAATACTTTTGCCTTTCCTATATGTTTATTATTCCATTGGATGATTTTGGAAGCATATCTTTTCTACAATGCCCTTTGGAATCAGCACATCCATGGCATCCCTTAATTATTGCTTTGCTTCTATCCTTATCTTCAAATGCTTTTAAAACCTGATAAACAAGATAAGACTCAGACTTCAACATTCATCAGCTTCAGAATCCCCAGCAGAATAATTCCATTCCCACCCAAAAATGCCCTTAGGATGATAAGGAAATAACCACTTTGCCCTTAGGCTGATATCTCAAATTTATGGGATTTCAGTACTTGTCTTTTGACTATGTTCCCCGGTAGGAATACTTCAAAGAAAAGTTTATGTTGGAGTGTAGGTCAGATATGAGATAAAAATCTTGAAACTGGGGCATGTTTAGTGATTTATTAGTATATCTGTTTGGAAAATGGCTTATCTGTTTAACATATATACTTTTTATTTTTGTATTTAGAATTATTTTTTGTTTATTTCAATTAATTTCGAATGCTTATATGAAAACACTAATTGATAAGACAAGTCCAATGCTCAGAACGTCAGCATTCCACCACAATTATTTTATCTCCAAAGCAAGGAAGCTTCAGCCTCAAAGCTGCTTTCATTTCATTATTTGTTCTAATTTGACGTTTTTTTGGAACAGAAAGATTCTAAGAATATGCGCAAGGTGTTCCAAATGCTTTTCTCCTACTGTCCACTACATCAAGCACACCACATTGGTCCTTTTTTTTTATTTTATTAAAAGAGACACTTATGCTGATTTGATTCTTTATTTCTTTTATGTGTATTGTTTTTTTTTCAAGAATGGTTGTAATAGGTTAGTTTAATATATTTGTGGATTGGTTTTTTGATTCTATTATGTTATATTTGTGATTTGATATTTATTACTTTGATCGTAATATGTTAGTTTAGTGTATTTGTGAATTGTTAAAAGGAGTTTAGACTTTGAATAGCTTCACATATTATTTTGATCATTTTTATTAAATTTATTAATTTATGTTTATATTAAGATATATAGTATCACTAGATTAAAAAAAGCATAAATTATGGTAAGCTTAATGAGAAAGTAGTTGAGTCGAATCGAACAATGGGTCTTTTTAACAAGCACAAGTCAAGAAAAATTGTATCGAGCTTAACAAGCAATGAATCAAGTCGAGCATGAATCGAACAATTTTCAAGTCGAGTTGAGAATTGCTCAACTCGCTCGATATACACCCATAGAATGAAAACATTTATACACATTAAACATATCCATTACTCTTCAAACATTGGTTGAACTGGTGCTGTCTTTGTGTTACACAATGAGTCTACATTTCGATCAATGATTCATCAAGACAGCTACATGGATTACTATTTCCTCCAACATGGAGAATAATGCATTTTATTGATCCAATAGGCGTTAAGATATAAAATGTGGAAAAGATTAGCATGGAATCCTAAGATTGAAATGGCCAACATAGTTGACATAAGCATTTTCAGATGGGAAATGCCCACATTAAAAAGGATCTCACTTTCCATTAAAGTTCCTCCTATTTAACCACACTGCTCTCCAATTTCTTAAAGACCCCTTCTATTATCACAATTTCTTCCTAAACAGAAACAAGTATCTGAGTTGGGAATCTTAATTTCTTCCATGGCTTTCCATGGTGACGAGACGACAATCGACGATCAAGATACTGAATCGAGAACGGGGAGCAGCGGTGTAACTTGGGGGGCTTGTTGATTTTAGGGTTCAATAGAAATGAGGCTGGAAATCAATCAAAGCCAGAGAGCAACAACAAGGTATTCTCCTGCAACTTCTGCATGAGAAAGTTTTACAGCTCTCAGGCCTTAGGCGGTCACCAAAATGGACACAAGAGGGAGAGAGGGGCAGCTAAGGGGTTCCAGTCTCATAAAACGATGATGGCGACAATGGGGTTTGCCCTCAATCCTATTGTGGTTCGATCACTAGGGGTTCAACTCCATTCTCTTGTTCACAAGCCTATGAGAGAAGGGTCTGAAATAGTTGCAAGATTTGGAAGTGATTCAAGTTCTGCGTTTGAGATGGCTTTGACACCTTATTTGGTTCAAGAATCAATGGATTTGATGTGGCCTGGAAGCTTCTGCCTTGATAAATTGCCGAATCATGAACCAAATTTACCAAAGCTCGACTTAAACCTTCGGTTGTAGTCGTATAAGTGTTATCTTTGTATAATACTCCGTATATGTTTCATACTCTCATCTTTTGTCTAATAATCAGGACATATTATATTTCTGCAAAATGGCAATGGACTCTGCTTCTACAATTCTCCACTAATATATCAACGAAACTTGAAACTTTCATTATCAGATAATCTTTTTGAAAAACATATACATAACATGTTATTTATGATTAACCTTCAATTTTTATAAGTTTAACCCTAACTAAAAGGTCTAAATTGAATTGATGTGATTCGTACTTCGTAGTGTATCCTATAGTTGCTAGTTCTGTGCTAGAAATTGCGTTCACTTATTCAAGATTGATGTTCGCCATCGTTACAACTATGCTCCCAACAACAAAACTAATCGGCTTTAAATTTTATATGCGATGGATATAATTATATTGTAGGGAAAAGTACACAAATGGTCACCCGACTATAGAATGTTATCTTTTTGAGTCCCACTACTATCAAAAGTTACGAAATGGTTCCTTGATTAAGAAATTGTTTTGTTGAGTCCCTGACTATTAAAAGTTACGAAATGTTCCATTGACTATAAGGCATTGTTTTGTTGAATCCCCGACTATTAAAAGTTACAAAATTGTTACTCGACTATTCACATGTTCCAAAATCATATTTTTTTGTTAAAAAATGATGGCATATTGAACTGGATGTTAACATATTGACTATAATATGATAAAAATATGATACCAAAATCTCAAACTAATATCATCTCTCAGTCCATAGGTTAATATCCAACTCATACTGCCATTTTTTTTAACGAAAAAGGATGAGTTTGGAACATATGAATAGCCGGGTGACCATTTTGTAACTTTTAATAGTCAATGAACTCAACAAAGCAACGCCCTATAGTAAAGGGAACATTTCGTAACTTTTAATAATCGATGACTCAACAAAACAACACTATATAATCGGGGACCATTTGTGTATTTTACCCTAAATTGTAACTTTCAAATAAATGTTTACAAAATGATTTGAAAATAAAAATTAATCACAAAAATAATGATATGGAGAAAAAAGAATAATGTACATTGTTTTTATTAGTTTGGAACATGATTAATGTGATAAGTAGGACTCGGAATATAATTTTTAAAATATAACATATATATCTGAAGTAGTGTTTTGCTTCCCGAAATATGAATTATGAAAACATTTTTAGTGTTTGATTCACTAGAAATAATGATGATTTAACTAAAACTTGATATGTATATAAAAAAACCCTGTTCTAAAAAATAAAAATATTTTTGAAAATTGAAAGCATCAAACAATGATGTTCTAATTCGAAATCTACTGAAACCAACCAATTAACATTGATCTAAGTGATTGGGCATAATAAAGATCATGATTTAATCGATGATAACGTAAATATTTGTTCGATCTAGTAATGCCATTGTTCTTGCCCAAGAATGAAAAAGTAAATGTTACTCAATATTTGATGTATATATGAAATTCAAGATATATTTCGATAAGGCAAACTAATTTTGAATAAAAACACCAGAAGTTGGAATGTCATGACCGTCGATTTTTTCATAAAAAATAAGTCCAAATGAAAATGCTTAAGTGACGAGAATATGCTTGCAAGTACGTGGGCATGTATGCTTAATATTTGGGAATTATTGTAAGTTTTTAGGGTATTGAATGTTTGAGTGCGCAACGAAAACATAGTAATTCTACAAGCAATTTCGGAGAAAATCAAAAGGAATAAGACAATTTGAATGCATATATCAGTAGTAATTGCCCCAATGAGAACCATATTCCTGTTTTAAAAAAAAACATAAGTGAAAGTTATTGAGAACCATGTAATCGTTTTATTGAAATCATACAAATTTTAGGGACGAAATTTTCCTAAAGAGTGAAAAGTATCACACCTGATTTTAGGGTTAGAAGTTTGAGACACTAGCGTGACCTAACTCAAGTTCAAAACCCTTCAAAAACCTTTTCTATACACTTCATATGTGTTCTATTCAAAAACAAAATCTAACGAGTTTCTTTACTTTTATTTTGTCCCTTCTTTATGAGTATTTATACAATTCACACGCAAGGTATTTTTTTAAATTATCGTATGTATTTAATATTTTTTAATTTAATTGTATTCTCCCATTTTTTTACATCATTTGTATTTTATTTTATTCATTTTTATGGTTGATGATAACATCAATATTGGTGTTGATCGTCAATGTAACACCTCAATTTATGTGCTAGTAGTTTTAGGTTTGATCCATGCGGATTGTATGTAAGCCTAAGTATCCATAAAGAAGCTTTGGGTCATTGTTGAGGTTGTTTGGGTTTGGTTTGAGCCAAAATGAGTGTAAAAAGAGTATTTTTAAAGTGGGTTTAAAGGATGAAGGACCGAGGAAATAATTAGCCCCCTAAAGTTTTTTAAAAGTTGAAAACCAATTAATATAAATGATGTATGTGGGCATGAGACCAACTTTTTCTTCACCGTTCTTTATCTTCTTTTTACCTTCTTCCTTCTTCAACTCCTTCAAGTGTGAAAGAAAAGGAGAGAATTTGGTAGGCTAAAACCTCTAGTTCGAATTCGTTAAGGTAAGAAGAGTAATCCCCACACTTAGAGCTCTCTTTTAGGCTCTCAAACTCAAGGTTTGACAATAGTTGCCATAGTGGGGGTTTAAGGGGATTTTTTTCATTTAGGATCTAAGTATGATTCTCGTCCATTTTTAATGTTTAGAATCACGTTTCTTCTTCTCCTAAGTTCTTAAATGAGTTAGCAACTCATTCCTTGTCTTGTGATTAGTGAAAGGGTTGGGTGAAAGCTCTAAAAGCAAAGACAATGAAAATCTAGTGCTTGGGGTGAGGTTGTGGTTGTTTATCCAGTGATTAGTAGTAAGGTAACACACCTATAACCCTTTTATGATGCTTGTAGATTAGTATATGTAGATTTCTTTCTTGTATGGGTGCATGTGACATTTGGGGTGCATTTGTGTTCTTGGAAGGGAAAATGTATTCTTATGTTGTTCATGCCTGAAAAAATGACCTTCCATGATCCCTTAAACCTATATAAGCTTGTAATAATGTTTGGGGGCCTTGGGTATTAGTAGGAGTGAATTCTCGGGTCGACCAAAACAGTACATTTCTAGGATGCAGTACTAATATTGGATAAACAATATCGATATTATCCTTAAACCAGGTCAAAATAAGGGGTTTTGGCTAGGTAGTATCGGTACCCTATTCTTGGGGTATTGATACTGTTCACAGGGTATTAGTGATGATGGATTTAGAGGTTATTGATATTGTAAAATCATTTCCAAACTTGTGTGATGATCAAAACCACCTAAAAAAATGCTATTAATGATTTTTGGCCTAAACCCTAATTTAGGGGAGTTTATGATTTGATGAAATTGAGTTAGGGGTTCGATTGTAGAGGTCTTAAAATGTTGAATAGAGGTTGATTTCATGCATGAATCAATTGAAATTAAGTGAAAAATCAAGGAACCCTAGCCTTGAATCATTCGGCCTAAGCTTTGTAAGGTGAGAAAAATAATGGAAAATTATGTAGGGGTTGGAAATGATGTAGGAAGTATTTTGCAAGCCTTAAAAAATTTGGGACAACTATGTAATTTTGAGAAAGTTAAGGGACCTATTCAATAAATTTGAAAACTTATGGGGTTTATGTAAAATTATTTAATAGTTGTTGTACTATGTCAAAATATAATGTTAGAGTGATGAATTTGATGTTAGAATTTGAAATTGGCCTATTTTGGGAAGTTGGCAAAGTTTGAGTACTAAATGAAAAATATTGACAAAGTTAGTGACTTAAGTGGTAATGGTGGAATTATTGAGGTATTAGGCTGGAAATTAGGTGTTGGAAATTTAATTAAGTTGTTTAAGACTTTAATTGAAGTAAAAGAGCAAAAGACTATTTACAATAAAATTGAAAAGCTGAGAGGAATTCCAAAAGAATTCATAAATTATGGATAAAATGTAAAGTTGATAATGTTATGTAAAGTTTGGATAAATTTGGATAAAAAGTAAATTGAATGGTCAATTTGAAGTTTTAAGGTCAACATAGATTTTGTGATATGGAACTAGTATCGAATGAGCATCGAAAGATTTTTATGAATTTATTTTCTAGTATGTGCTCATGTTAGTAATATTCTAACATTTGACTTAAATTATTTATGTTGTGTAAATGATGCTCATTTAGATAGTCTACATGAATTCAAGGTCAAACAATATTAAAGCTAAGGAGAAGCTTAAGGATGAAACATGGATTACTAAGAAAGTTTTCAAGCTAAGGACACCGGGTGAGTGCATATTTAATTTGTATTTATGTTATCGTGTAAACATTGGCTTGCAATGAGTCAGTGACAAAGTTACTATGGTAAGAAGTGACTCCTAATATTATGTGACTTTTTGATTCATGCATATATGTTCATGCGGTAAGCTAATAAAATTAGTGAATAAATTAATGATGTAAACTAGTGAAATCTACATGTACTTGTGACTTGAATAGTAAGTTTGAAAATCAGCATAAATTCTATGGAAATTATTAGAATATATTTTTACACTGTTGGATTTGTATATCAGTCTAGTTTTGTCTAAAACAAATGGCTACTGATTATGAGAAGTATACAAAAATATATGAATTTTTAAACAATGATAGGTTAGAAAACAGGGCAGTAGATTATGCTCAACACAGCTTATGTAAGTCAATTTTGAAATTTTACTATAAATTGTACAAGATGAACTATAAGGATTTCCTTATATGGTTAGATTCTTATTTGAGTATAGTTTCCATTTGTTTAAACAGAATAAATTTCAAGTGTGCATATTAATACAAAACAATATTTCTTTGAAGGTAATGAAATCTGCCAATATATGAAATTTGTCATAAATTGTTTTTTCATGTTACTCTTATGCTATATGCTATTATAAATGTTCGAAATGGGTCAACTTTATCTTAGTTGACATAATAATTATGATATTTATTTCATGATGAATATGATATGT